AATACAATCGTGCGTCTGTCCTGTTCTGCAATTCCATCGTAATTTCGCATAATTGCCTGGCGTGAATCAGTCTGGACAACGAAGAAGAAGAAGAAGAAGAAGAAAAAGAAGAAGACAACGACGACAAAGGACAAAAGACAAAGACGATGCAATCGTAATGGGTACAACGCCGAAGGGGTAGAGGGATAAGAAAATTTACGAATACGATATATGCTTCCCCCTCCCCCACCACCCACTATTTCTCGTTCTCTTATTAGATGGTAAAACAAGTATTGTATCCAATGAGTTTTTACGATTATTATCCTAAGGTTCGTTTCGTTTGAAACGATAGCTATTTAAATGAATTAATTGTCAGACGAGAAAGTTAAGCTTATTTTTCTCTCTCTTTTTTATTTCCTTTTATTCGAGCTAATATCGAAACAATCGAACGTTACGTTTAAAAACTCATTTGGTGCGATTTAAATAACTATGAAGCTTTTTCGCAATGTTATTGTAATCTCTCTCTCTCTCTCTCTTTCTTTTTCTCTGTGTGGGTTTCCGGCGGTGATGCTGCGCATGGACCAAATGAGAGAAATAGAGAAAGAGAAAGAATATCTGGTGTTTACATCACGGCCGATATATCGCACGTTTTACATGCAGAGACAAGCGCTTCTCGTCTACATGGAGTAGAAAAAAAAAAGAAAAAGAGAGAGAGAGAGAGAAAAAAAAAGAGAGAATGAGAGTGCCGAGAGTTATCTCCTACTAACCTATCGTACATAGCAGCAGTACATACATATACACTTTGCAATCTCTCGACCTGATTATTTTTACGTAATAAGAGCGTTCCTACGTTTAACGAACCCTCTTAAGATTTAAATATACAGACACCACACACACACGCAAATATATATATTTTCACACAGACGATAAAAGTTCCTCCAAACCCTCCCGTAACCATATACGTCTATTCGAAATTTATGATTTTCATAGTAGTCGGCAGTCTATGAAGATCTTCAGTTCTCGAAATATACGTTCTATTCTAGCATTTTGCTAACTCTAGTTGCTTTAAACGCCGGATAGAAGAGGATGAGAAACGTTTGAAACAACAATGACGTAATATTCTAACGAGTTTGTTGACTCTTTGCATATATACCTACGTATATATATATATTTACGTATGCACAACCTACGTGCTTGAAATAAATCGATATTAATTAAATGAAAATTATAAATCTCAAGTTTAATCGAGAGAAAAAAAAAGGAAAAGAAATAACGCGGATAAGTTTCTGCAATCGAATTTTCTTTCGAAATTGTTTTAACGATCTACTCATTCTCTCTCTCTTTTTTTCTTTTTTTTTTTTCCTTTAGTAGAGTCCTCTCGCAAATCAGATTAAAAAGCGAATAGAGAGAGAAATCGTTTTATACTTTATTCGTGAAAGCGAATATTTATCGGTTAAATCGATAATAATAATAATAATAATAATAATAATAATAATAATAATAATAATAATAATAATAATAATAATAATAATAATAATAANATAATAATAATAATAATAATAATAATAATAATAATAATAATAATAATAATAATAATAATAATAATAATAATAATAATAATAATATTAATAATAATAATAATAATAATAATAATAATAATTATTATTATTATTATTATATAAAGGTACATTTTAACAAGCTTATACAAATTTAAAAACTCTGACGGAAAGGAAAAATATCTTTTATTAAATCTCTCTGTGTTGAAAATTGTTATTAAGCGATCATACACCAGTCATAATACATTTCATGTTTTCTTAGGGTTAATACCTAAAGAAAACAATACGTTTATCGAGTTATCTCTTTATTCATTCGCAAGCTAATGTACATATACTCCTGTATATATATATGTTGTGTGTGTTATGTGTGTGTATTTAGGTATTAACTGTTTGACAGGGTTTGTAACGTTATACCTTCTGCTTCGAAAGAGGAATCTCTGAACGGCTAAAGCGATAACGTCCAACCATATTTACACTCATTTCCAAACCGGTGTGTATACCTACCTACCTACCTACCTACCTACCAACAAGTATAGATAACGCGTACCGAGTTAGAATCAGCTGTTTGTAATTTCCTTTGAAATCGATCGACCTTGTCGGAATTCCCAAGCGTTTAGCAGATATTGATTTTGTTACTAGGTTTTGCCGGGGCGTCGGCAGACCTCTGGAAAAATCTCTTTGCAACGCGCGCCCAAAGATAAATCCCGAGAGAGATAGTTAGAGAGAGAGAAAGAGAGAGAGAGAGGGAGAGAGAGAGAGAGAGAGAAAAAGTAAAAAAAGAGGGGGGAAATGGGCTAGTAGTTAGGGGGCAAGAAGGAAAATGAAAGTTGGCGGATTGATGGCGGGGGAGGGGTGAAAAGAGAAAACGTGAGAAATCGCATCTGAGATAGATCCTCTCCTCCCCCCTATCCCAAAGCTTATCTACTAACCCATTTTGTCGGTTATTGAAAATCGAACCTTTTGGATCTTTTCGGTTATTGAAAATCGAATCTTTCAGATCTTTCGGATGTCGCGTTTGATGTTTGTCGTGCACGTGTCATAGAAAAATAAAAAAGGGGGTCAAAATTGTACGTTGAGTCAAAAGTATAGGTAACCCTCCTATAACACAGAAAATGAATTCTTAGAAAATGTCTGAGACTTAGAGCCAATACAAAAGAGGGGAGGGGAATCACGTTCCGAAAACTTATTAAAAAAAAAATATTTAAAAATTTATATAAATTTATATAAATTTATAATGTATTCAAATATTATATTATTATTAAATATATATTATTTATTGTATATTAAAAAATTTTTTTATTAAAAAAAATATATTTTTTTTTATATTAAAAATCCTATCATCTTAATTTATATTAAAAAAAAATATTATATTTTTTTTCTACATAAACAATTTAATTTTTATTAAAAATATAAATGCATGTACAACACAAAACAAAACAAAACAAAAACAACAACAAAACATATTATTTTAATTTAACGCAACTTTAATTTAATAAATTTCTTCGTCGTCACACTGTTCAGTATAATCAACCGAGAGAATATTTTTTCGGTAGAATGATATCGCCTTCACTTTCAGAACTTTTCTTTTTATTTAAAGTTTTTGTCATCTTCTTCCCTCTTTAAAAAAAATCTATAATTTCCCTTTGCTTGCAGGTTCTAACCAAGTCATTGTAAATTTCTCGGTACGAAGCTGGACAGTTTTGCAGCTCCCTTATTGAATTTTCGGCTTCTTTTAGCGGAAGGGCTCTCTACATTCGAGAAAAATGATTTGAGATTTTCAGCTAAGCTTAGGCCTTCTTGTAATTTTGTTTTAATGTTAAATTATTAACTGCTCAATTTTCATCAGTAATCTAGTATCCTCAGAATCCATTTGATTTTTAGTTTCTTGCAATTTTCTTATCGTGTTAGAGGATGCCGTGTTTTCGGAGGGTTCCTGTAATTTATGAATCGTGTTATAACAAAACCGTGTAATAAGATGCCGTATTGTAGGTGAGCTACCTGAAATAGGAATGAAGTAAACGCAGAGGGAAAGAATTGTTCTCTCCTCCGATCGGAAAGATTGCTAAACGAGAAATAAAAGCGTCATCATCAGGTTGAATAATCAAAGGGGTAAATGTTTTGATTGATTTCGTAGTTGAGATTCAAAAAGATTTGTTGCGTAGTAAAGCGAATGAAGGAACGAACGAATGAACGAATGTTTTTGCTTGGTGGTATTATAGTACGGAAGCAAAGGGAAATTTTGTCAGAGTAGACCAAACCAGTCTCTCGTAAATCACGAAAGGCGTGAACGGTACGACAGGCCGAACGACTGTTAGCATAATTCAACGGATATAACCCGTACGCGTTATCGTCGAGACAGAGAGAGAGAGAGAGAGAGAGAGAGAGAGAGAGAGAGAGAGAGAGAGAGAAGTCGGCATATACACATACACGTTATATCATATATAATCGGACAAAGTTCGTTGGTTTGAAGTTTCGTTCTGAGACGTAAATAAAACAACGTAGAACGGCGTGGTGTGAAACGATTTAGATAAACCCTATTTTCAAACTTAAACTGATAATGTCTCGAGCTACGAATCGTTACTATTGCTACTATTACTACTACTACTACTACTACTACTACTACTACTGCTACTACTACTACTACTACTACTACTACTACTACTACTACTACTACTACTACTACTACTACTACTATTACTTACTATTGATACGCTAACTTTACGATGAAAGTAGAAAATTATATCGCGAAATATCTAACTGGTGGAGGTGATGGTAGTCTTCACTAGTAATCGGTCGAATCATCGGGGGAAGGGAAGGGATGAGATTTTTCTTTTTTTTTTCTTTAGGTTTAAATCTATAGATAGGAAAATGAGAGTTAAGTAGAATTTAGGAGAGAGTGTTACGATAATAGGAACAGAACACAACTGGTAGAGTCCTGTTTTACTTGCTATCGGGCTGAACTAGTCTTCTACGAAAAGGAAGATAATACAAATGGCTGTAGCATAGCTAGAAGTCTTCTAAGCTCCTAACAGCATAGGGCTTTCTAATAATTTCTATTTTCGGTAGATGGAAAAGAGCTACAGGATTGTCGTTCGAGGAATTTTTCTACGACATAGAGAGTTAGAAAAAGAGAGAAAGAGATACAAAGAGTGTGAGAATGTCTGATAAAAGTATCCACCTAAGAAAAGATTTTTCTTTTCTTCGAAGGAAGAACAAAAAGAAGAAAGTTCTCCTTTGAGCGAAAGGAATCATTTTTCTTTTTTTTTCTTCTTCAAAGATGACTGATCCTTTCAAAAAAAAAAAAAAGAAAAAGCTCTTGCAAAGTACATTTGTACTTAGGAAGAAAATGGCGAAAAGGTTTACTTCAAAGATCTTTGCATTTTCATTCCATTATATTATAAAAGGGAAAGAAGAAGAAAATTATAAAACCATGATATTGAAATAGAATCTTTTGAAATTTTTCAGGTGACAACAGTACCGGACGAAGCCGAGGACAGCTTTAAAATGCCCAGAGCTTCCGTGGTACATATGACGTCGACTGCAACGAAACCGCAGCACATGTCGCAGGTACTAACAACACGTTTATTCAATTTTATACAAGAAATACAACCCGTGCATACATTCTAAGACTTTATGCAATCACAATGGAACGTCGTCGCATAACCTCTACGACTACTACTTGGTTAAACTTTCTTTCCTCTATTTCTACCTTTTAACATTCTCTAGAAGAAGATTCTAACGGAAAAAAAGGGTTGCATAAATAAAGGTATACCTTTTTACTTCGAATAATTTTTCTAAGTGGACAAAAGGAAGAGGAAAATTAGCTTGCATGGAGATGATTATATTCGAGACTTAGCTTCTTATTTCTTCTTTTTATTCTTCTTTCATTCTTTTCACACACGTGTTACAACGCAACCGATTGTAATTTTGCAAGGGATAAGAAGAATGACGATAACATTTCTGGTTAGTTTCTATAAAAAGATCTTGAAATTGTGTTCCGCGTTATCTTACCCAAGATATTGCTACTTTTTCTTTTTTTTCCTTTTACCTGAATCGCGTGGGTAAAATTTCGAAAGATCGTAACGAGACCTTACGACTACGATCTTGTCCGTTGACATGGACTTGCGTAAGCAGGTCTACAACTGAATGGGATCTTTGCAGTGATCTATTATCGGAAAGTTAAATCGGTCGATCGTACTTTAAAACCGTGATTCATCGACACACGGAAAGTGACCTATCGTGTAAGAACGTCGTAATACTTTCTCAATATATTAACGTTTTAAAGTATGCTAAATTTGAACAAATTACCCAGTTAACTGAGTTTAACGAGTATACTCGTCATGAAAAAGTCGCAGAGGATTGTGGATATTGTTTCACGACTAATATACTCCTCATGCGTAAAAAATAGTGACCACTTGACCATTTGATATTTTAAATTGTAATTTTTGTGAAAAACGAAACATATTCTCAAATTTCAAGATGAGTAAGAAGAAATTCAAAATTTGTAAATTATTATTATTTTTTTTTTTTATTTTATTCTCAAAATGAGCAATTTTAATCTCAACTTGTCGACGGTCGATTTTCACTACACACAGCGATGCGCACTTTCCAAATGGAGCACCACAGTTAATTGGTTAAGAATCTCTTTTCAAAACATGAAGTGTTTAAAATTAGGGAAAGTCTTCTTTACTAAATGTAAGATCGAATAGAGAGACAAATTTTATGTAAACTAAAGAGTGTTTCGTTTTAATCGCACGTTCGAGAGGATTTTTCTGAATAAAAATCCGAATGAGAGTTCTAGAGGGAAGAAGCTTACTTTCTTGGCACACGGCCATATTGATATGTAAATACGAGGGGAGGTATAGTCGGAGCTTAATTGAGTGGTTCGGCTTAAAATGCATATCGAGTAGCCTGGCCGTTCTTTTGTGAACGAAGGCCACGGACTGGTCGACGACTACCAACAACCATATCGTTTAGACTTTGTCTCACGTTGCTCGGTAATCTCCGAGGATGTCTAAGAATTTTTAGAACCACCTAACTTCTTCTTATGTTAGTTGATAAATTCAATGGCTCGATTCTTTAGTAAATTTTTCTATCGGGTCGATATTTCCGCTTTTAGTCTCTCGCTTATTATTCATTTCATCGAAAAAATAACAAATGTATTTTAAGTATTCTATTACGTATTAGGGTGAAACGAAAAAGTTCATACGTTTTACAATTAATATTTCAATTATTAATATTAATAATTAAAAAGTATCTATAGAAATAATTTTGTTATATTATTTTCTAAATCTATTGAAATATTCTATAAATTCTATTATAAAATATTTTATAATAAAATTAGGATGCTCCGGCCACGCGTTGCTGTAGCTTTTTTTATAAAACGTTAATTTAATGTAATTTTAAACTATTTAGTAAATTATAACAACACACAAAATAATACCACAATTAGAATGGAATACATAAAATAATAATACAAGAAAAAATAGAAAAAGTAAGGTTATGTGGTATGTAAATTGAAATAATTGAATTGTAATACAGCGCCGTCTATTGAAAACTTGCAGTACTTAAAGACCTAGATAACTTCTAAATAATAAATCTCTAAATTAGAAATAAAAAATAAAAAATAATCGCGATAAAAACCATCCAATATTCGAAGTTGAAAGAAATCACACAAAATAAAAAAAATTTCATTAAGATCGGTTCAGTAGTTTCGGAGTTCATTAGAAACCAACAACGTGACACTAAATTTTTATATATAAAGATATAATTAATAATTAATTAATAAAAATATTATTCCATTATGCAGTTATAAGACAATTTTTATAAAACAATAAATAAATGACGAACTTTTGGTTTGCTCTAATATTATGTATGTATTATAAGTACTATTACCAATATTCGATGTACTTATGTGATAAACGATAACTTTGACTTGAGTTAATGCGTCTGTGAGTTAATAGCTTAGTTTGACTCGATCTAAAAGAACATCCTTGCACTTGGAAAGTGCACCGACGAGTGAGTGCATTGGCTCGACTCCATGGAAAACGAGCTTTTAACGTTCAGCTGTGCAACATGAAGAAGAGATGACTAGGGACGCACGGATCAGAGAGAAACATATGAAACGTGGATTTGCTTAGTTCCTTTTTGCCACGGAAGAAGGAACCGAATATCGGACGCATAACTTTTTTTTTGCCAATCGTTTTATCTACCATACGGAAAATCGTTTAACGTTCTTTCCAAATTTGTTATTGTTGTTGGTTTTTAAAACGTTCGCTTAGGACAAACGACCCAACGATTTCTCGTTCCGGTTTCTCCCATGCGAGAGAAAACACGAAGAACACCACGCCATTTTTACATTTTTCTTTCCACTCGAACCCTTTTGTACGGTATGTACGTGTTGTTCACGAAACTTTTTTCATGAAAATAACTCGAATAGAAAAGCAACGAAAGACCGTACGTGCCGGTTAGTAATTTTTTTTCTAACCAAGTTTCCGTGGCAATCCATAAAGTCAACGTCGATCGCACCTGTTATCAAAATTCTGTCGATATTTCACACCTTCTCTCAGAGTATATAGTAGCACATGCAAGCATAGAAGTAGTGTACATGCATATATGTATATATATGTATATATACGCGTATAAGGGAGAGTGAGTGCATCGAAGCGTCGAACTCGAAAAGGGATTTCAAAGCGTGCATCTTTTACTTCTTTTTATTCGTACCGAACGATTCGAGACACTCTTCTTCTTTATCTTCCTGCTCCGTTTCAGAATTTTACCACCCATAAAAGATGATATATATTTCTTTTGCTTTTCTTTCAGATAATATAATAGATATATAGAAGAATATTGCATTAATAGAATCGAAAAATATATTTTATTGTTATTATATTTAATCGAAAGGGTTCGTGTGTAAATAACAACCTACGGTGTATAAAATATTTGATCGGACCTTGACCTAGAAAAATAATCGATTTTCAATTTGCATAAAAATAATCTAGTTCGAGATTATGGGAGAGTTGGGGAGCAAGAACAATGTTGCAACAATAGGTATTACGATTTCTTTTATCTTACCTGACCGTACTCTAACATTTACTTTCGATCTTTGTAAGAACAATGATGCGTAGGCACGAATCGATCGTTAATCTTCTTATCGGTTTATCGATCGCGTTCAAATCCTTAATAAATACTATCCTTCGATCCCTTTTCCAATATCTTTGTATCGTTGAATAATAATAATAATAATAATAATAATAATAATAATAATAATAATAATAATAATAATAATAATAATAATAATAATAATAATAATAATAATAANAATAATAATAATAATAATAATAATAATAATAATAATAATAATAATAATAATAATAATAATATTATTATATCAAAATGTTAAAAATAATGTATATACTTTTACACATATGGGTTACTTAATAATTTTATATTATATTACAAAGGAAAACTTGGGAAACTACCTTTCATTGTAATTTCCGGAGTGTTGCATTTTCGAGTTATGAAACGAAAATATTCCTAGGTACATTTTATTTTCGTTAAAATATTTTATTACGGTATGCTAGTGTGGTTCTTTCTCTTTCTCTTTCTTTTATTCGACTAAAGTATATACAATACTTGTAAAATATTATCATGCGCTAGACAGGGAATATTTACAATTACGGTGCACGAAAGAAATTATGCGAACGTCCCATTATTATCCTGTTGAATAATCCACGTTCATTTACGAGCTTCACATAAGTAATATGAAGTGTGCACTTTTCAACTTTACGTAAGTGTTTAAATAAAAATGCATTTAGAGTGGTTTATTAAACGAAGATATGAGACATCGAATAGCGAACGAGTTACATCACTTGATTTAACTCGAAAGACCAAGAGAGAGAAAGAGAGAGTGTGTGTGTATGTGTGAAAGAGAGAGAAACTATGGTTACGAATCTGGCGAGAAGAGGAGAAAGGTCAGTCAAGGGTCTAAGGTCGTGCATGCAACTCGATCCGGTTATTATCACCTGTTCCACACTAACATGAGAAATCCAAACAGATTTTCGAGAGCCAGGTGTTCTCATCTCGTTGCACTGTCCTCCAATGAAAAAACAGAGATACCATAAAATAAAAAGAACTTTTAGTAATAGTACTTCAAAGGAAGATTTATTGGCGTACGTGGTGCAAAGCACATTTTGGTCGTGGTCCTACGTAACTCTGTATAAGCAACAAAGTCCACAGTGTAAATGTTTAGTATTCCTTGGTAGAATTCGTGAGCTTGGATTTCAATTTGCGGCAAGCAATTTGTTCGGAGCTGGTGGTTGCAATTCCCAGCAATACAAATTCACCTACGTAGATAGATAGCGTATCATTCCTATAGAATAGCTGCTATATATCATTTTCCAGAATATTTACATAGTTAAAGAGCATTGTTAACACGTTTCTCGTGCCCTGTGGGACGTATACGACCCCTGCTGCACTTTCCGTTCAGGTCATTTGGAATTCTCATTGAAAAACAAAGAATTCTTTAAAAATTTATTGTAGATTCACATCATTATTGTTTTGTTGTCTAATGCATATTAACCCATTGACTGCTAGTTCCGAGATATCTTGTAATGTGTGCTGCAATTTAAGTATAATTACAAATGGCCATTTGAGTTAAAAATTATTAAAATTTATATGATGTAAAAAACATTAATTATCAATTATTATAAATGCCATTACAATATTACATCAGTAATTTATTATTATTATATTTTGTAAAATTTCATGTATTCTCTAAAAACCTTGGCACCCAGGGCAAGACGCTCTAAATGTACCTGACAGTCAATGGGTTAAAATTTATATCTTTTTCCTGCTAATTATAACTTTGAAGTATTGAAAAAAATGTAAGTCATATACGTCCTAAACAACCTTTTTTTAATCTTTAAAAAGTGTGAGTCGTATACTTCCCACGCAGTTTGAATGAAAAATCTTCAAAAAATTGCCGTGGCACGCATGGAACTTGTTAAAGATAAAAACGAAAGACTCTAGGATATATTTCTATAGTTTGTTCTGTGAGTTACTTCATTAAAAAATGTCTAAAAGCAATTGTTACAACCCTTCTTCTCTCATCTTCGATGACGTTGCTTTATTATACAATCCGAATGAAGGAGAAGATTAGCAAGTACGACGACTCTCATTGCAAAGGGCATTAGTAAGGAACGTGTATCAAGTATATGCGTCGAGTAATTGTCTACGACGAAGAATGACTCTGCATCCATTGTTACTATCTACGCCCCTGATTAATACGAATTGACTACGAGTCTCAGTGGTACCAAGGAATAAGTAAATCGACGTTTTAAAAAGAAAAGAAATAGTAGAGAAGCGTATAAGTACGACAAAATGCAAGTTGCATGCGTCCTTTATGCGTCGTTATACGTCGTTATACGCGTTGTTGCACAGCAGTTCTTCGTTGCGCATAGCAACGACGATCGAATTTCCATTGAGAATGAAAAAAAACTGCTACTACTACTACTACGTGAAACGATTACACTCCATTTTATTTATATATTCTTTCTTTCTTTTTTTTTAATTTTTTTCCCCTTCCTCTCTCGGCTATTAATAGGCTTCGTCATTTTCTGTCTGGAAGGTTTTGGCGACCCTGGCACTTTCCATGGGAACGTTGTCCTCTGGCTTAGCAAAAGGCTATACCTCGCCTGCATTGGATTCAATCTTGGATAAACAACCGCCTACACTCTATCAATCCACCAACAACGATACTTGGTAAGTCAATTAAAAGTTAATGTAAAATTCATTAACTAACGCATAGAGTTTTCTTCGTGTCTAATTATTACTCTTAACCCCTACCACCAAAGAAGCGCATTTCTTGCCACCAGTTGGAATGGGCCAACCGGTCGGAGTCGTTCATTCAAGTATTTTCAAGTAGCATTATCATAAGAATGCGAACACAGATTCTAAGGAGTATGACCCGACACATCCCGACACATGTCGCATGCATCAGCAAGTGTATTATTTATCCTTCTTGGTTATTCGCCGAACCCTCTACCCTACCCACCCACATCATTCTTCATCGTGACAAAAAGACTTTTAGAAAGTTGATTATATCACGATGAAGATCTTACCATATTTCTTTTTTTTTTTTTTTATTTAATTTTTATCTTCAAAAGTGTTACTCTCTTTGTCATTCTTTGTAATGCAAATGAGATTCATGATATAATTGTTGTATAGTATGCCTTGAAAGATTTTTCGCTAACGCATTATTACGAGAGATCGACATCGTTGGAAAAAGCTCCTCAGAAACACTCGCCCTACTTTTACTTTAGATAGATCTTTATTGTGGGATAAAGAAAACCCATACCTTTAAAACAGGATACTTTTTTTAATCAGCAACAGAAGGACAAAAATCTAGATGGTTATATTTCGTCTACGTGTGTGCGTATCGATACGCCTGCTGTATACACACACCCATATATATATATATAAAGGTAGTTTATAGGTATATCCATGTACGTGGATCCGATGGACCACATTCGCCGCGTGTTATTGGCATAAATATCAGTTTGACTGGCGCTGTCACTTGTGCACTTAATGGCGCATTCGTGTATGCGTAGAAACACGCGTACTATCTCTGGTCGAAACGATTCGACTCGTATCAACGAGAATAATTTCCCTATTTTTCCATAGGAAATGGAACTTTTATAGGTGAAATAGTGTTTTCAAGTAAAAACTACGAAACGAAATTTGCAGACGGATCTGCCGCCTGGAACACTCATTTGGAAAGTTTACTTTGCTGTTAAAAGTAATTCCCTATGGAATGAACAATAAGCGAGAGTTAGTATTCGAAACGAGGCTTTCGAATAGGCTTTACTCAAATTACCAGATAAAACCGTTCGATCCTGTTATCGTCGAGAGAAAGAGAGAGAGAGAGAGAGAGAGAGAGAATTAAATCCCTTGCAGTATTTTCACGACGAGTCTGACTCGTGATGGAAATTTTAGGTCAGATTTGAAACTCATGAGTCAGGCTCGTTCAGTTTCACGTCAAACGGGAATATCACGAGTCTTACTCGTGCTGTTAATTTCGGCCTAAGTATGATTGTCTAAATGTCATTTTATCCCTTCTCTTTTCTTTTTTATACGTATGGATATTTTATATCTTTTTCTCCAATAAAGTTTACGTGCTACTTAGGATACATGGTTATAGTTCAAATAACATTTGAAAACTAAAGTTTCTGAAACACTCGGACTCTGCCGCTTTGTCTCTTTTCGGTTCGGATCATTTGGGTGCATCATGGACTTAGGCACTGGACTTGTTCCGAATTTCAGCGTAGTGGCAAAAGTGGTTAATGAGAACTTACTTTGGACTTTTCGCAGGGCGGTTTTCTCAGTGACGTCGCAGGAGGCTTCATGGGTCGCATCCTTGTCGATGTTGGGTGCATGGTGCGGAGCCATGATCGGTAATTGGATAATGAGAAAAGGCCGACGTTTAGCACTACGAGTTACATCATTACCATTGACTGCAGCATGGATTCTTACGGGAGTAGCACCTAGCGTGGAAGTCGTATATTGTACGAGTTTTATAGGTGGACTGTGCTGTTCCATTATCACCATGGTAGCCCAAGTAAGCGATCGATAGTTCGTTAATATTATATTTATTGTCAATCAAACATGTTAAAGAATGAAGCAAAGAAATAAGAAATGTTTGAGGATTTGTTTGTTCGTTATTTAGGTATACATCTCGGAAATCTCGATGCCAGGCATCAGAGGGTGCCTTTCGGCGATGTTAAAGGTGCTGGGTCACGTTGGCGTCTTGTTATCTTACATAGCTGGAACCTATTTGAACTGGCGACAGAGTGCTCTTTTAGTAGCCGTAGCACCGTCTATGCTCTTTTTGGGAACTCTCTTTATACCCGAAACACCGTCCTATCTCGTTTTGAATGGAAAGGACGAAGAGGCCGCGAGCAGCTTGCAGTGGTTACGTGGCGAGCAAGTGGACATAAGACACGAGCTACAGGTGCCTTTTCAAATCTTCTTTAACATCGATTTACTTATATATATGCATCGCAAAAAAAAGAGAGGGAATGATCTTTAAAAAGTTCTTTTTTTCTCCCCTCGCGATTCAACCGTAAAATGTGGTTCTTCTACCCACGTACTACTATCCTCATCGGAAGCAGATAGTTATACGCGCGTAAAGATTTATAACCAAAAGGGGGAAGATTTATATTCCGAGTCGCGTACTTTTACTTTTCTGTACGAGTTCTTTTTGTTTTTTTTTTGTTTGTTTTTTCTCTTACATAATAATATAAATATTATTAAGCTGCTTTACGATTGCTTCCTATACGAAAAAAAAGTTTATTACGTAGCACGGTACAGCCGAGCAATGATGTATTTTAGAAATAATATATGTTTCTTAGGTGATCAAGACGAACATACTGGCCTCGAGAGCGAAGCAATACGGATTGACGTTAAGGAGCAGCATTCTAACGCCACGACTATACAAGCCGATCGCCATAACTTGCGGACTTATGTTCTTTCAGAGATTTTCCGGAGCGAATGCGTTCAATTACTATGCCGTTATAATATTTCGTCAGACCTTAGGAGGAATGAATCCTCACGGTGCAACTATAGCGATCGGATTCGTCCAGTTATTGGCATCCTTGTTGTCGGGTTTCCTAATCGACGTCGTGGGTAGATTACCGCTCCTGATTGCCAGTACAGTTCTCATGTCGTTAGCGTTGGCTGGTTTTGGTAGTTACGCCTATTACGTGTCCCAAACGCAAAATTTGGGCTATTCGGATTCTGCGGTACCTGCTGGCGAACACGACTGGATACCGTTACTCTGTGTACTGGTCTTCACTACTGCCCTAGCCCTGGGCATATCGCCAATTTCCTGGCTATTGATTGGCGAACTTTTTCCACTGGAGTATCGAGGTATCGGCTCTAGCATCAGCACCAGCTTCAGTTATTTCTGCGCCTTCTGCGGCATTAAACTCTTTATGGATTTTCAGCAAGTGAGTTCCTCCCCCACTCTCCCGAGTATTTCTTATCCAACGAACCCAAGACAAGTATAGTCATTAACGGATAACTCATATCTTTCTTTATTTTTTTTTTCAATTATCAGATCTTCGGATTACACGGAGCATTTTGGTTCTACGCGGGAATGGCGGTCTGCGGACTTTGTTTCGTGGTATATTGCGTACCCGAAACGAAAGGAAAACAATTGGACGAAATGAATCCGGAATACGCACAGGCACGGTAGTATAAGGCCTCCTTGACGGGAGGTTTGTCGAATCTCGAGAAGGCAAATAAGCCTTTACCGAGCGGTGCTTATCCTAACGAGCACGATCCTCGAGAGATATACAGGCCCGATCAAGTTGCTCTCTCTACGGCTGGGCCAGAGTTACCCAGGCCTAGTCATCGTTCCTTGTCCGAGTATTGTGGCATTTTTGCCGAAAAGACCAACAGAATAGGCAAAAATGTTGGAAATTTCATGCAATCTCGTGGATTTTTAGCAACACCCAGGCAAACAACAACTTCTAATACCAATCTTTTATCATCGATTAGAATCAACGGAGATTTGAACAAGGTAGTTCACGAGAGGAATTCTACAAGAAATTCTACGAGAGATTCTACGAGAATATTCGAACGGGATCGATACTACGAAGGTATAACGACGGTTAGAAACGATCGAGTTCATCGTACGTCAGCCGTGGAGGAAGCTCGCAGAACTAAAAGACGAAATTATCGGAAAGAATACGAGGATCGTACAAATGACGACTGTTGGAAAGAGGATCCAAGGAGAAACATAAACGGTGCTAAGCCGATCCTGAGAAATGGCATAGGTTACGAGAGACCCGAAAGAGTACCATACTGTTCAACTATTCCGAGACGTAGCAGGACCATTAATTTCAAGGATCAAGCTTATAACTCCCTGGAGGAGCTACGCGGATACCCGAAGAGTCTGCAGGATTTAACGGATTTCGAGGTCGAGGATAGAATAGAACATTCTAGCATCTGTTCATTCCCGAAAAAAAAGAGAACTCAAAGGACAAGTTGGAGGAGGGAGGAGGAGGAAGAGGACAACGGACCACCACCACAACAACTACCACCGGTCAACGTTTATCGTCAAAGGAGACTACAGGAACCAGACGAAAGGACGGTTGATCCTTTCCTCGAAGAAGACTATTTGAAATTTTGTCGAAATCTTGCTAGGATGGAAAAATATCCTCGTGGTGGACATTACAAGCCGGGACAGGTGCACTACGAGAGAGAGTGTAGAACATTTGGAAAGGACACGTTAGCTTTTATTTATTACAAGACTTGTTATTTGTGATTTATAAATGAAATGGATCTGATCTAATAATTTACAATTATTTTCCTACAGGATTATTTTCTATACTTTAGAAATGAGTATAGGCGGGGAGGGGAGAGAGCCGATTAAATTTATTGTATTACATTATAGGCATTATTATAGGTATTATTTCTAAAGTGATTTGAGCTATAACAAAAAGGCAGAACTTCCATGCATCGTGCCTTTCTTGAATGATAAAAAAAAACAAAATAAAAAAAAAAAAAAGAAAAGAGAAAAACGCGACAATATTAATGACGAGACGATAATAACTTGAAAATATCGTCTCATTTACTACGTGTATATAAATGATAGATAAATTAGATCAATAATCGAAGATTACTAATATAGTCTTTCTTCTTGTTTAATGGAGAAACGACTGACGTACATAATAATATGTATATGTATCATAATATAGGATTCGTAGGATTCGCATAAATTTCATATTTTTCTTTTCACCAATCGGACACCGACCTTTATAATATATATAGTCGATTATCGTTAATATCGAAATCAAAATAAAAAAAAAAGAAACAATAAAATCTTTCTATTTACAATCAATTTGTACCAGAGAAAAAAAAAGAGATTTTAGTGTAAAACACGATCGTTATTAGAATGTGACGCGATTAGCGTTACCTGGCTTAATTAGATCGAAAAATTATGAAGGACACAAAGTTGCAAAAAGGCAGGTATAGTTGTTCGTCGAGATACTCGGGTCTCATCCTAACGACTCGATTATACGAGTCAATGACTAAATTACGACAATATCTTTAGATACGTCTGTATACACACGCGCATACTTATTATCTTTCTTATATATATACATACATATACATACATATTATATATATCGCATATCGGAGTATTGTATGTCACGTGTTATGTACGTATATAAAATACGCCAACACGTACGTGTACAGATTTACGTATTTGCACGAGTCTGGTTAAGAAAAAAAAAAGAAAATCTATCAATAATATATAATAGATATTATTATTATCATCTTATCATCGCCAGTTGCCAAATTCATTTGATCTCTAGGCTTAGAATTGGAAATTGTGACTTGACACAATTTTGAGTCAAGTTTTTGACGTTATATAGAAGTAACGAGCCACGTAAGCATATACGATTTATCTTTTTGCAAGAAATATAATTTTCATTCTAATCAAAAAAGGAAAAGAGGTTGTGGGAGAAAAAGAGTATAAAAATGTCGACTAAGTAAACCTAATGTTTAATTTCTTCGAAAAATTTACCTTATACGTTTAGCTGCCATTTAATGATATCATATTTTTATAAGATTTTGTCAAATCTTGTGAATTAAGGATTTGTGTAATGTTATTAACCTCGCTTGATCGAGCGAGTCGAAAGCGAGAGAATATATGGTGGGATTGAAAAAAAAAAAAAAAAAAGAACAAAACCAAATCTCGCGAGAAATGATATCTGTATTTGATATTTTTATATAGTATGTAGAAAGAGAAATGAATAATAAGAAGAGGGAAATATAAAAACGAAAAGATTAACGAAAGGTCTACAGGAAAGAATTTACCTTTAATACGAACGAGATGACGTCTTAAAGCAGAAAAATATCTGCGATAGTGATTAAAAGGCCTAGTCTTCGCGGAGAAAGCATTATTATTTAGTTTGCATTGCTAGATAAGAAGAAGAAAAAGAAGATTAAGAGATTTTTATGCTCCTTATTTGATTCGACTAACACGATATGACATATCGTTGTTGTCTTTCTCCGTGCGATCGTCAAATAGAACATATTACAACCATAATCATTTCTATATCATCATATATAATATGTATATCCAAATATACGAGTCATATCCTTGCCATATCCAAGATTCTAACAAAAACGTAATGTTGCTGTTTTCGATTCTCGCGTATATCGAATAAAAACTCATAAATATGTCAAAATCACATTTCACTAGACCGGTGGTGCTTTTTTCTTATAGACAAAGCTCGAAACGATTTCATCTTATTGGAGTCAGCTTTAAATGATGGTTAACAATTTCTTATACAGGGTTGTCTCTGATTAATTGCAAAATCGTTATTCGAATAGATGATCTTAATTATAAATTTCGAACGTTAAGATTTTGTAATTAAATCGGATGCATCACAAGTAATTTATGGTGCAGGCACACAGTGAACAATAACAAAAACAACTCAAAGCAAATACATATCACGGATTTATCGAAATAAATATACCCTCGATCAAAAAAGAAAGAGAGAAAGAATTTTATTCTTACTACCTTGATCGAGCGGAAATACGAAAAATAAAAAATAATGATCTCTTTGGGTAAACATATCTCGTCGTTAAATTTGCAGAAATGTTAAGTCACTGTGTACTCAATAAGAGGAAGAAAAAATATTAAAAAATAACAAAAAACTTAATATTAATATCTAAATATGATGATGAGAAGGGCTTGGACGTAGTATCGAATTATATTTCTATCGTTTTAAGATAATAATAATAGCGCAAGTGCAATACTCGTTAAAACGAGTGCATTGATATAGCTTAAGATAATCGACTTTAGAGAGTTCTATACATACATTTGTACATACGTGATTTTCGACTAATTGTACTATCTCTCCCGTTATTTAGTATTCTTTGCGCCGAACGAATAGTAATCCTTATTCTTGCCAATGATACAATTTGCAAACTTGTCAGAGGGGGTCTATTGAATATTCTAAAGTCAGTATTATTGTCATATCTCTCTTTCTCTCTTTCTCTCTTTCTCGCTTACACAGCTACATATGTCGAGCCTACGTGTGGATAAAAATAAATAAATAAATAAATAAATATATATATATATATATATATCATCCATACCCATACATATATATATATATATAATTAAACATAAAATGTATCTGCATTGTGCACTTTCGTGAATTGAATTGGTTTGTTGTAATACTATTTGCGAAAAGAAAAATGTCATATTACCACACGTATAAGAAGAGAGAGGATGTAAATTAGTTGACGAATACTATTATAGGCGTCTCATTTCAATTCTTGCAGTCTCTTTCCCTCTCCTTCTCCGGCTCCCCCCCTTCCACGCACCCATTTACGCGTATTTATATATACGGGAATACATGAATACATAAATAAACACAATCCCGCGCCATCGCGTCATCATAATATTGTATGTGCACACGTCTGTAAACGACGTAACGACATTATTCAGTTGAAAGTCATTTGTTAGCATAACAAAAAAAAAAAAAGATTAAAAAATCCGCTTTAAAATAATGTACGCTATCGAATATTATAATCGATATAAGTAGCCCGATGATTCGCTCGTCGGATCGAAAAAAAAAATAATGATGATAATGACAAAAGATAAATAATAATAATAATAATAATAATAATAATAATAATAATAATAATAATAATAATAATATTTACGATTAATTTTTGCCTATCGAATAATAATATTTATAATATTTTCATTAGAGCTCGATATTGAGAGCGAATAATTCGATGATATTATTCCTTTAACGAGTAGAAGTTTCTTTTTTTACTCGATGACAATAAAGACGATAAAGAAGAAGAGAAATAATCGACAATAAACGTTACAAATAAAAAAAAAGAAAATAATCATGAGCGCTGGCCGTCGGATACATACATATTATATACATATACATTATATATTATGTTATTGTCAATGCGTTTAAACGTGAATGTCATTTTGTAAAATTATTGGGTATTGTGTGTTTAATAGAATTATTATACATTTAAAAAGAGACATTGTACAAAATGCTCTTAACACTATGCCGTCCCGGTGGGGCACCACGTTGGTGCCATGCGGAAATTATCGGACAAACGCTGCTTGTGATTTCATTTAAAAAATAAATACTAAAAATAAATAAATAGATAAACAGCTAATACAAAAAAAAAAAAAAAAATAGAGAAATGTAATTGAGAACTTATGGGAACTGATGACATATTAATAATAACCGCCGGTGATAAGTGAAATGTGAGTTAGTCTTACCGGCGCCAAACGAACAAATTTTGATGAAACGTGCGGACGGCAAAGTGTTAATGAGTTTCGGTCAATCTAAAAAAATGCCCAATCATTAATACAAAATATCAGAGGGCGCGGAGGTCAACGTGTATTGACAAGTAAATTGAAACATGTGTTTTTTATTGAGGCAATTAATCTCTCGGTCGATTATTATATTTGTTTAGAGTAAGGTACTTGGAATTAATTAGCAAACGCGACTGATTGTGAGATGACACGAGGGGACAAGGAAACCTTTATTAGAATAAAAGAATATGTAGGAGTGATAAACAAAATATAAGATGAAGATGAAGATGAAGATTAAAACAAAAATGTATAAACAGAGTAAAGCAATGAAAGATTGTCAAGTATGGATTCAACACTGTGTCCAACGGACTGTGAACGTTATATATAAAGGTTCGGACTATTTGTGAAATATTTGCTCATTATACAAAAAAATTGGGCAATTCTACAGTGTGTGCGATCATTTTACAAAATGCCCACGTTAAACACATTGACCATAACATATACATATACATATAAAGTATAAATATATAAATACATGCGTTTATTATAAGTTGTTGAAGAAGAAACAAAAAAGAAAACAAAGTGATAACCGAGGGGTGGTATTTTCCAAAACGAGAAAACATATATATGAAATTTTACTTGAAAAAAAGGGTACACGCCTAGCTTCGCTTGCTAGATTTAATATTTTTGTAATGACGCCTAGATGTAGTTTGTTTATACCTTAATAGAGTAAAAACATGTTTAAACCTAAAAAGAAAAGAATAAAAATAAAGGACAGAAAAATCGTGGTATCTGTGAGCAAATCGAATGCGAATGGTGAAAAGTTGCGCGCGTGTACGCACACACAGCAGACACACACACATGCAGACATATGTATAAATACACATTCGACAGATATAAGAAGAAAAACTATGTGTACGAACTTTAACTCCGATCATTGAATTAGAAGGTGTCTCTAATACGTGCCTATAGAATTTGTTGTCTTTCTTTTATTTTATTTTTTACTGTGGTTATACGAAATACTTGTTTTTCTTTCTAATATCGTTGAAATCTCGTTGAACTTTAGAGATAAAAGCTAGTACCATTAATTATATTCATTGTAAGAAATATATATATATATATTTGAATTGATTTTTGAGTTAAACAATGGTACGTAAGTAATACTAGAAAGGGATCAGATATTGCACAAAAAAAAACTATGAATGATTGATCCTGTTGTAAAACGTATGAGACACTTCCAAAATCGGTAAAGCTAAAATATATGCATTTACGTTGGGTATAAATATAAATGTACTTAAGCGAGAATTCGGTTATAGAAAGTTAGTTTGCGTTTGTACGAGCAAAGATTCTCTGGAAGATTATACAGAAAAATGTATGATAAAGTTGGATATAGGATCGCTAAAATGGCCTTTGGTGGAACCAACATATTACGTGTTTATATAGAGAAATCATATACACTTATTATAAATGCCAAAATAAGAAACATAAGCATAACCGATAACGCATATTTATCTTATTTTTCCTTAACTATATTTTTCCTTCCCCGATAGTCAAAGCAATTAAAACATACGAGTTTCTAAATTAATCCATCGTTAGGAATTATTTTCATTTGCTTAAACGGTTGTCAATAATTATTTAATATATCAATGACAAAAGGACAATAAAAATTGTTGGAAATATTCCAACCAGTATCTTAACGTTTGAATGATAACAAGAATGTTTAATGCAAATAAGCGAGAATATTTCATTCCCGTTATTTTTCTGTCAAGATATAAATATATCTTTACGGTTAAGAGTTTCTGCTAATTATAGATAATATATTAGGTCATTTATCGAGTGTGTACGACATATTCAATCATTTATGTTTTTTTTAATTTTATCTATGACGAGTAATATATTATGTAATAAATATAACGTTAAGACTGTTAAGTTAAGGGCAGCCATCTGTACGTTAAAATTTATACTATATTATCCGACATATATTTTGGCGGGTGATTAATTGAATTTAAAAATTGTGGATATGAACTAAGAAATAGAACTTACCCAACTGTGGTACAGACATGTAAGTTTCACAATCGACGAGGAATTGTCCAGATTGTACGGCTCCAAGTGCGACTATCCTTTTTGTCAAAAACTCTATTGTCTGCGGTCCCGTTCTGTTTTCTGTCATCGGAAATTGCTGCAAACTGAGAATGCAAACGAAAGATTAGTTATCGTGCTTGTAATTCAAATTATATCGAACTTATTTACTCGCGGTTAGAAACACACGAAATAATTCTAATTATTATAAATCAAATTCGAGAAAGATCTACATGTATAATGTATTATATTACGGAGACATAACCTCTATAATATTAAACCTTACAGACAGGGATAAAACAAATAATTAAAGAAATATACAAAAAAACAAATTGTATATTCAGAAAGATATGCATAAACATAATAAACTTACACTGTCACACCCATGTTTGCACTTTTAATATTGTATCTTCCAGATGAAAAAATACTACGAAGAAACAAAATGCACCGGTATTAACGTTCGGAAACGTGAAAGCGCGCGACACATGGGAAAAAATGCGTTCTAGTACCATAACTTTCGATAGATGGCGGGAGGGAAACTCTGTATTTCCTCCGGTGCAAATATTATCCGAAGGAATAATACGAAAACAAGTAATTGATTTCATATCTGTTAATATTACATTTGTAATTCATTATTGACTTTGTCAAACGCGAAATTTATTTTTATTTCATTACATTAACATATTAACTTATAAGTTTGTTTTGATTTTTCAAAAGAAGTTTGAATTCAAAACAAATTTGATTTTATCTACTGAGTTGGAGGAAAATTTGATAACTTGTTAATTCGTAATAAACTTTATTGATTCGAAACGGATAAAATAGATTATTTAACGAGATATTTTATTCTTATCTTTGTTTAAACGATTTAAAAAAAACTTTTTTCGTATATTTTAGTTTGGATAAAATATACCGACTAATAGTAATAGTTATTTTGAGTGTCTTCATAGATGGTGTTAGTATCGCTATAGGTTAGACGAGTGTACCTGGAAAATGGCGATATCTGTTGCAACCGCGTTAAAGCATTTTTTACACACTCGGTTCGTTTCGTCATCGATATTCGAGGACCATTCGAAAGTGTTCGTTCGAGGTTCGCTTTGTCCCGCGAAAGTGAAAATTCTCCAGGATCTTCTTAGCGGTGGATAACTGAAAGGTTATTTAAGACTTCAAGTAGACGTATCGAAAATCAGGTAAGAGAACATTTCGCAATTTACTTTATATACAACTGTACATACAACTGGAAGTTGTATTACGTCGATTACTCCTCACCGTATTTGGGCATCGACGTTGAACGTGCATTCTATTTTGTAATACCCTACCTGACATCAACCGAATCTTTTTCTTTCCCCTTTCTCTCTTCAATTTTCCCTTTCATCCGAATTTTTTATGAGATCGTAAAACTTGCCACGTATATGTATTTTAATACATATTTTATTTATAATACATTTACATGCGAGTTATCATTATTATTTCTGTACGAAGGTATGGTATAAAAAAAAAAAAAAAAAAAAAAAAAAAACAAGTAGATATGTTTTCATTCATTAAGCGAAAAGGGAAGATTAAATGGGCGAAGATCGTTTAGAAAAAAAGTATTTTAACATATATCGTGTATCTAGATTTAAAGTAAGAATAATAAAGAATACATTTCTGTTAAAAATTACACATATATTAATATACTTTGAATATAAAATAATTTTGATCTAATATGTTTTTTTTTTAGATAATCATATTGAATTTGAAACTATCATTGGTCAATAACGTTAAACAAGAAAAAGATGTATTTTAGTTTAAACAATTTCTAAATATTAGTAAAATATATTAAAGTGTTCGATGTACCTTTTTAATGATTGTTAATTAATTTCAGAAAATATATATTGTAATTTAAAATAACGGTATGTGCTTTCAATTTATAATTATATTACATATAAGTTATTAATAAATATATATTAAATATAAATTCAAAATCCATTTTTAAATTAGCTCATTGTCAACTATAAAAGTAACTTCAAATTCTTTCATTGTTTATTATTGTTTATAAGATTTTTTCAAGGAATAGTTTAATACAATTGCATATCTTGTAATTAAAAATTACATATGTTTTGCATACGATTTTTAGGCATTTTCACTGAGCGATAATCAAAAAACGAAGTTTAATTGACTTACCTTATCCTAAATACGATACCAATAGTTTTGAAGAAAAAAAATCTAGTAATCGTAACGGTGTACAATTTTAGAGTATTTGAATATGTTACATTTGATGAATTAAAAAATTTCATTTTTTGTATATACTCTACTTATTAATAAAATCTTCTGTAGTATGATAAATTGTAAATAATATTATATATGGAAAATATATTTCGAAGAAAAACCTTGGCGATACAATAAGCCATAGAATAAAGACGAGTGATGCCCTGGCTGTAAGGGGGCATCGTTATCATCCAGTGATATTTACATTAGTCAATAAACGTGTTTTATAACATAGGAGGTTAAATGATATCGCTGTTGAATGACGAACGTATAATACACGTTTGTAAAAAGACTACGATGGAAGCGGTAGATTATACGAATGAAAAAAAATGGGTCATTGAGATAGAAGTTCTCGCGTATATTTTTTTTCTTTTTTGTCGTTGTCGAAATGCATTACTTAAGCCAAGCTAAACGATTAGACTGATGAGAGATTGTCGAATGGTGTTACCTTAACGACGAGAATAATCCGAAGTGTTAGAAACGTTAGAGCACAAACGATTAGGTTACCGTTTTTTTTTCGAGCTTTCAACTTTCACTTTTTTTAAAAAGCTTAAACACTCCCACGCTCGACTAAATGTAACAGAAAGAGAATACGGAATATAGTTTTTAATCTTCTTGTTAAATACCAATCGATCCAGAATGTCGTTGAAACTTGGAGGGTGAAGGGAAGGAGTGTGAGAAAAAAATGTAGCGGATAATTGATACCACGCCTAGTGGTTCGCGACTTGGAATTCGTCTAGGGAAACTCAGCACACACCATTGAAATCTCGTTTGTAACGACGGGCTTGAGAGATGGAAAATCGTTTAAAACCGGATTACGCCGAGCAATCCCGATTAATTTCAAATCAAAATTCAAATCGCTATAGAATATTCGTATTTCCGGGGGAATCGATAAAAAGGATCGATTGTAAATAGAGATTGGATTAAATTTCGTGCAGATATTTGTTTATAATCATTTTCGTGGATAATCGATAGATAGCCCGAGAAAAGATCGTTCGTATTAACCGCTTAGGCACGGCTGAATGTTGTACGGGGCTGTTTCTTTGTACGGCAGGGTTCAACGAGAATTAAGATGAAGGCATCAGTGGTCGACCGGTTAAGAGAAATTTTTATCTAAAATAATGGTAACTTCTTGCATTTTTATTGAATAGTAGGTCTTGAAGCGTGAAGATATTCTTTGAACTTCGAACGCCACATAACAAAGTATATTTTTCGAAAAAAGTTGTGTTAGACGAAAATAATAAACAAATGGAAAGTCAATCACTGCATCAGTAGTTGAACTTTTGTTAAACTAGAGAAACAAATAATTGACAATTTTGTCGTTAGTAATTGACCACTTATACTAGAGCCAAAATCAATAAAAGTAATCATTTTAATATTGTTTATTTACATCAATTAGAAGAAATAACAACTAAAAAGTCAAATACAAATGAATAGAAGTTCATTTCTGAAAGTTAATGAAAAATAAAGTTAACTATAATTCCATATCGAATATAATTCAGGTATAGAGTAAATATTTCGCGTTTTGCTCGTTTTTATAGACTCATTAATATGTAAACGTATATTTTCTCATTTGTAATGTAATACATCAGGAGTATCTAGCTATTTCCACAATCGCCCATGCTTTTGCATAAAAGATATAGTCGCTTTAGTGTCAGTAACAAAAAGGATTTTTTCAGAAAAATATTCACATGCATATAAAAATATTACATGTTCATTAACATCCTTTTTAACACTATTTATACCGAAAGGTGTCGAAAGGCATCTTTCAAATTTTAACTTAACATTATTCTTTAAGTTTAATCATTTTTCCACAATTAATTTTTTGAACTTTCGTAAAACAGTTGTTAAATTAATTTAGTGATATTATTTTCCTCAAGCTCATCCTGGATCTAAAGTTTTGATACTTTTGATCGAAATAGGTATACACAAAATCGTGGTAGAAATAGTGTTAACGCTAAGCCATTTATTCTTGTCCAATATTTTTTTTCTTCTCAATATGTGTCAACTTCTAGAAAACATCAAATAATACGATTCGGTAGTTGACTCATCAATTAATTAAATTTTTCATATTGAAATACGGTAAACAATGTGTTTAATGAATAAGAAATTTAATGACAATTAAAATAGTGAAAATTTCAGGCATAAAGAGTCAAAAGCTAAGAAATTACTTATCGTCAACTACTTATGTCTTCTTAACACTAGATATACCACCATTTTTAGTATACCTATTTCTACCACACTAATCAAAATGACTGGTGTATAAAAAAATACTTTTTAAGGCTTCCAGTCTTTATTTACTCTTAAAAAAAAAAAAATGTTTAACAATAATAATTTTAATAGATAAATGAATTTATAGACATTTTTAAATTACAAAACGCTTAATTATTTACAGAAATCAAATGTTACATGAAGTAGAAATTTTGAATTAAAATGGCCCGACCTGTCAAAATGACTGGTCTGGTATATCTAGTGTTAACGAAAGCGTTAAGAAAGTTACAGTGTGGAGGAATATGACTGTCGTTACTGATATATATATCTATATATATTTATCGTTCGTAGTTACAATAAACAATCGTATTCAAGCAAACGTATAATAGCATCGCATTGGTAAATGACGTAGCTTATCTATCTCATTTGTTTCGAAAGGCCAATACTTAAAGAAAGCTTAGTTTTCACGTTTTAGTGAAAAATGGTCAGTTTCTGGCACATAGTCGATGACTGTTGCCTCCACTCTACGTGTAAACGATAAAATTATGATGTGTGACGAACAATGGCTGTTTTCTCAGCGATTACATTTTAATCAAGTTTTTCATAATTAAATTATAATTTTTCTCAAAGAAATGATACACATACATTATATATTTTGTATACTTGTATACAATTTGTATTTTTTGTAAAGTATATAATTGTATACTTTAACTTAGACAGTTTACTTTAATAATTAATAACAATAATAAGGTATAATATATTTTACCAGATGTTATCCGCGAAAGCCACTGTAGTAGCGTGTCGTGCCTAAAAAGTTAAAATAATCAAAAATATCTATTCTTCGAGTTAGTAATTGTAGTAACAACGAAATACAAAAATAAACGGCCATATTCTACTACTCCTGAAGGTTGGAGACGCGCTTAGGCAGGAAACTATGACCGGATGTTGGAAGGCACGTGACTGACATGCAGAAAATGCTCCTCCCTTAAGCTTACTAGCTCGCTAAATATTCCATCGATATTGGACAGTGGCAGGCAGGCAGGCAAGCAGGCAGG